GAGGAGTGGTAGATACGCCGGAGGGGAGGGATAGGATACAGAAGGACCTAGACAAATTGGAGGATTGGGCCAAAAGAAATCTGATGAGGTTCAATAAGGATAAGTGCAGGGTCCTGCACTTAGGATGGAAGAATCCAATGCACCGCTACAGACTAGGGACCGAATGGCTCGGCAGCAGTTCTGCGGAAAAGGACCTAGGGGTGACAGTGGACGAGAAGCTGGATATGAGTCAGCAGTGTGCCCTTGTTGCCAAGAAGGCCAATGGCATTTTGGGATGTATAAGTAGGGGCATAGCGAGCAGATCGAGGGATGTGATCGTTCCCCTCTATTCGACATTGGTGAGGCCTCATCTGGAGTACTGTGTCCAGTTTTGGGCCCCACACTACAAGAAGGATGTGGATAAATTGGAGAGAGTCCAGCGAAGGGCAACAAAAATGATTAGGGGTCTAGAACACATGACTTATGAGGAGAGGCTGAGGGAGCTGGGATTGTTTAGCCTGCAGAAGAGAAGAATGAGGGGGGATTTGATAGCTGCTTTCAACTACCTGAAAGGGGGTTTCAAAGAGGATGGCTCTAGACTGTTCTCAATGGTAGCAGATGACAGAACAAGGAGTAATGGTCTCAAGTTGCAGTGGGGGAGGTTTAGATTGGATATTAGGAAAAACTTTTTCACTAAGAGGGTGGTGAAACACTGGAATGCGTTACCTAGGGAGGTGGTAGAATCTCCTTCCTTAGAGGTTTTTAAGGTCAGGCTTGACAAAGCCCTGGCTGGGATAATTTAACTGGGAATTGGTCCTGCTTCGAGCAGGGGGTTGGACTAGATGACCTTCTGGGGTCCCTTCCAACCCTGATATTCTATGATTCTATGATACGATTCTCAGGTCTTCTCTCTCCCAGTGTAAGCAAATGCAGCCAGAATCAAAATCTACTTATCCCTCAAGGTCCTTTGTCCAGAAAGGAGAACATAAGAATGACCATACTGGGTCAGACGAAAGGTCCATCCAGCCCAGTATCCTGTCTAGTGACAGTGGCAAATGCCAGGTGCCCCAGAGGGAGTGAACCTAACAGGTAATGATCAAGTGATCTCTCTCCTGCCATCCATCTCCACCCTCTGACAAACAGAGGCTAGGGACACCATTCCTTACCCATCCTGGCTAATAGCCATTAATGGACTTAACCTCCATGAATTTATCTAGTTCTCTTTTAAACCCTGTTATAGTCCTAGCCTTCACAACCTCCTCAGGCAAGGAGTTCCACAGGTTGACTGTGTGCTGAATGAAGAACTTCCTTTTATTTGTTTTAAACCTTCTACCCATTCATTTCATTTGGTGGCCCCTAGTTCTTATATTGTGGGTACGAGTAAATAACTTTTCCTTATTCACTTTTTCCACACCACTCATGATTTTATATACCTCTGTCATGTCCCCCTTCAGTCTCCTCTTTTCCAAGCTGAAAAGCCCTAACCTCTTTAATCTCTCTTCATATGGGACCCGTTCCAAACCCCTAATCATTTTAGTTGCCCTTTTCTGAACCTTTTCTAAGCACCCTTATTTCCCAGCTGGGAACTGACCTGCTTAGGCCTGCAGCTCCTTTTATCTGAACCTGCTGGGCTCTCATTGGCTCCTTCTGTGAGGCGTTTCTAGGCAGGCCTGGAGGACTCACTTTCGCTGCTCTTTTCCTGGGGCAGGGTGTTATAGGACTGTGGGCCATCCTGTAGGGAACCGTAAAGGCCAGGTACATCCTGTCACACTTCCTTGATGATGTACAACATCATATCATATTCAACTTTGCTATTCTCATCTTCAAGGGATTTAGTGGTCAGGGCCTGGGATCCCTAAAAGCTTAGCTGAAGCTCTGGTACAAAGACCACTGTTGACATTTTCACTTTGACACAGTAGAATTGTCTACTGCAAGGGTATAGCTCAACTGTGCAGGAGACAGCGCTTTCTTGGGGGCTACTCCCAGACTTACGGAACAAACTTGCTAAGGATTTGAGAACTACTAAAACATTACGGTTTTCTATTCTAAGTGCACTGTAATACTTGGCCCTGCCTTTACTAAGAAAAACCTATAGCGCTTCGTACATAAATATACAGTTAAAGTAGTTAAATCCTTGTACAATTTTCCCTTTGCTAAAAGGGAGGGAGAAAGAAGACATTACTTAATACGCTACTGGCAGCTTGTGATGGGGTTCATTCACTGCAAAGGGTGCCTCCTTGTGGCCACATCTCGGGATCATCTCTACTTAGTTCTGACATCCTCTTCCTCACACCATGGCCCCTCTCTCTCCAGAACTTGGGGTGCTCCTTCTTCGTAACTCAGCCCTTTTGCCAGATCACTATAGTCCTCCCTTTCCAGGGTAGCAAAGTCTTTCTGGACCAACTGTCTGGTTGGTGTCTCCAATGCTCTTGTGCCACTTCCCAGTGGCTGGTAGGGGAACCAGGCCTGCCCTCTGAACTGGGTTCCAGCCCAGGGACCCTATAACAAGCAGCCAAGGTCAGCACGGTCCTACCCATTACTGCTGTTTCCCTGGGCTTCTTCTTACTTAGTGCTTTTAGGCTTCCTTTTCCCCCAACTTCTCTGGGATTTACCCTTCTTCTAGGTATAGAAGCCTGGGGCTTTTTCTCCCTCCTGGGTTTTCACCTCCACTCTGCTCCCTGGAGTGACTGCAGACTCTCTCCTGCAGCCCCCTTCTGCTGCAAACTTCCTGGCTTTATAATCCATCCTACTTAAGCCCAGCTGAGCCTCTTGTTCATTTAAGCCTGGTTTTCCTCAGGCCCACATTAACCCTTTATCACTCAGGTATCTTTTGCAGGCATACAGCAATGCTACACTGAGTTGATCAGACTTAAATACAGGGTATGGATTCAGGGTATATTGTATATCCATGTTACATAGAAACCCTCTCCCTTTATATACAGTTACACATTTAATTGCATTTACTGTACAGTGTATTACACATTTTAGGGTTGGCTTGGTTACTTTGTAGGAACCAATCTCTGTACAGCATGCTCTGTCCACGCACTGTCCATGTTCACCAACTCTTTACCTGTTTTCCCAACTTATCTTGTCCATTGTTATCTTGTAAGTGGTTCTCTGGGTGTTCTTTTCCCTTAGCTTAGCTGCATAAATATTATTAGGTGCCCTGTGCTGTTTGGAGGAGCAGAAAATACAGGGAAGAAAAAACATCACCCCTGGAATCCTAGTTCTACTACCTACCACACAGCCCCCTGGCAACAGTTGGGTGTTGCTTGTGTGTATGGGCTGAGTGAAAGGTTAGAAATATTTAAGAGCATAAGAAGGCCATACAGGTTCAGATCAATGGTCCATCTAGGCCACTATCCTGCCTCTGAGTGTGGCTGGTGCCACGTGCTTCAGAGGGAATGAACGCAACAGTGCAATTATCAAGTGATCCATCCCCTGTTGTCCAGTCCTAGCTCCAGGCTGTTGGGGGTTTAGGGGATACCCAGAGCATGGAGTTGTATTCTTCCCTCCCCCATCTTGGCTAATAGCCATTGATGGACCCATCCTCCATGAACTCATCTAATTCTTTTTTGAACCCAGTTATACTTTTGGCCTTCACAACATCCCATGGCCACAAGTTCCACAGTTTGACTGTGCATTGTGTGAAGAAATACTTCCCTTTGTTTTTTTTAAACCTGCTGCCTATTAATTTCAGCAGGTGACCCCTAGTTCATGTGTTATGTGAAGGGATATGTAATACTTTCTCCATACCATTCATGATTTTCATATCACCACTCAGTTGTGTCTTTTCCAAGATGAACAGTTTCATACACTTTTTAATCTCTCCTCATGTGGAATCTGTCTCATCCACCTAATCATTTTTGTTGTCCTTCTTTGCACTTTTCTAATTGTAGTATAATTTACTAAACATTATGTTTAAAATATTTAGTGTCTGAATCAATAGGTTCAATGTAGGCAGATTGTTTCAGACCTTCATTGTCAAGATAACTGAGCTCCGTGCAATTCAGTGTGTGGAACATTAAAAATAGGATCACTCTTGGCTGTGGATGTATTTATGTTGAAAAGCCCATGATGCATTTTGTAGGAGTAAGGTTTGCCCAAGTTACTGTTACTGTTAAAAAAGTAACTCCCTCTATATTGTGCAGCATCTTGTGTACTTTTTGGCTATGGTCTTTCATCCCAGAGGCAGCTGAAGTTCCTTAATACTCTCTGTGTGTAATTAAGTGCTTAATGATTAAAGGTCCAACATAAAAGTATGATAGTATTTTAGCACATGCTACACAGTGAATCAGAAGGGAGGCTTTATTGGGATATCTCTCCAGAAAATGTCCTAGCCTAATGACAGTGAATGGTAATGACTGGTACTTGGAGAGAGCAAAGATTTACAGAGTCGTTGTCATGGAATTAGGGCCTTTATAACTGCAAAAACAACGAGGAGTCCGGTGGCACCTTAAAGACTAACAGATTTATTTGGGCATAAGCTTTCATGGGTAAAAAACCACTTCTTCACATGCATGGAGTGAAAATTACAGATACAAGCATAAATATACTGGCACATAAAGCTTATGCCCAAATAGGGTGACCAGATAGCAAGTGTGAAAAATCGGGACAGAGGGTGGGGGGTAATAGAAGCCTATATAAGAAAAAGCCCCAAATATGAGGGCTGTTCCTATACGATCAGGACATCTGGTCACCTTATGCCCAAATAAATCTGTTGGTCTTTAAGGTGCCACCAGACTCCTTGTTGTTTTTGTGGATACAGGCTAGCATGGCTACCCCTCTGATACTTGATTTATAACTGCAGTGATTGATGTTTTAGAAATGCCTGTGGTAGATATTACTCTTATCTGTCCATTTCTGTGTTTCCCTCTAATGGTATTTCAGTTAAGTTTAGTGTCCTTTCCTTACATCGGAACTCAAAGACAATATTTTAACTTTGTTTTATTTTTAAAGATTGTTTATCTTCCTTTTAAAAAGTTGTAAATAGTGAAACAGTATTTTGGTGTATTTTCTAGGAACTAGCCAGCTGTGGATGGAATAAGAAAGAAAAACACATCCTCGCCCCTAATATTGTTGCCTTTACAAGGAGGTTTAATCAGGTAAATAATCTAATTAGATTTACAGAATTAACACTGCCCACCTGAATTTCACAAGGATTGAATTTGTTACTTCATTGATATACATAAATGTGCCACATCTGAATCCTATTAACACAGTGCTTTGATGGATTAGTAATCATAAAAGAGTCAGATTTTTTTTTTCTTGAGAGTTGTTGGCTTTAAAGGAGATCAGTATGGGTGTAGCAAATATGTTGATTGTAACTGACTTGTAATTTTTCAGACTAGACCTACATTTAAATGCTGCAAGGGATGGATATAAAATAGATGTGTATTACATGTTACTCAATGGACATGAAGAATAATAATGGATTGGTGGTGTTGGGTTTGGGCTTTTGTTTATTTATTTTGTTTGCTCTTTTTTGATGGGGGATTTTATTTATTTAATAACAGATGTGAAAACAAATTGCTAAATGTCAAGGGAATATTTTGCTTTCTGATAAAGACTATTTGATTATATGTCACTTCAACAACCTGCTCTCAAACAACAAGGTTTCTGGGTAGTGATCAATGGCTCCAAGTCTAGTTGGCATCCGGTATCAAGCAGAGTGCCCCAAGGGTTGCTCCTCGGGCCGGTTTTGTTCAATATCTTCATTAATGATCTGGAGGATGGCATGGATTTCACCCTCAGCAAGTTTGCAGATGACACTAAACTGGGAAGAGTGCTAGATATGCTGGAGGGTAGGGATAGGATACAGAGGGCCCTAGACAAATTAGGAGTTTGGGCCAAAAGAAATCTGATGAGGTTCAACAAGGACAAATGCAGAGTCCTTCACTTAGGAAGGAAGAATCCCATGTACTGCTACAGACTAGGGATTGAGCAGTTAGGCAGCAGTTCTGCAGAAAAGGACCTAGGGATTACAGTGGACGAGAAGCTGGATATGAGTCAACAGTGTGCCCTTGTTGCCAAGAAGGCTAACGGCATTTTGGGCTGTATAAAGTAGGAGCATTGCCAGCAGATTGAGGGATGTGATCATTCCCCTCTATTCGGCATTGGTGAGGCCTCATCTGAAGTACTGTGTCCAGTTTTGGGCCCCACGCTACAAGAAGGAAGTGGAAAAATTGGAAAGAGTCCAGCAGAGGGCAACAAAAATGATTAGGGGGCTGGAGCACATGAATTATAAGTAGAGGCTGAGGGAACTGGGATTATTTAGTCTGCAGAAGAGAAGAATGAGGGGGGATTTGAAAGCTGCTTTCAACTACCTGAAAGGAGGTTCCAAAGAGGATGGCTCTAGACTGTTCTCAGTGGTAGCAGATGACAGAACAAGGAGTAATGGTCTCAAGTTGCAGTGGGGGAGGTTTAGGTTGGATATTAGGAAAAACTTTGTCACTAGGAGGGTGGTGAAGCACTGGAATGGGTTACCTAGGGAGGTGGTGGAATCTCCTTCTTTAGAGGTTTTTAAGGTCAGGCTTGACAAAGCCCTGGCTGGGATGATTTAGTTGGCGATTAAGTCCTGCTTTGAGCAGGGGGTTGGACTAGATGACCTCCTGAGGTCCCTTCCAACCCTGATATTCTGTGTTTCTTCCAGAGCCTGAGACTTTCTGGGGTTCTGATGTAACCCTCAGTAAACATGTGCATATATTCACCTTGCATCTAATAATAAGAAATGAACAATGAGTTAAAAATTTTTCCACTCAAGTTGCAATATAAAGCATAGTTTATCCTTATAACACTCTTGTAATTTAGAAAGGAAAAATCCTACCTAGCAAATCAAGTATATGCTAATTTTAGGAGCATTCCGAGTAACAATAACCATCAAATTGTGCTTAGAGTGCGCTCAGAAGTAGTTGTGTGATTTGTCATTGTGCACAGGCATCTAGATGAGGGGATAGTCAAGGTTAATCCTTAGTAACGAATAACTAAATGTTTAATGATATAAAAAGAAAAGAAGAGTTATTAAATAGTTAAGGAATCATATACTTTATAATCGATTTTTAGAGTTTCCAGGTCAGGATCATAGCTGTGATGATAAATCTGGTAGCTTGTTTTTACCCAAGCAGGTTGGGGGTCATTCAGTTCCTTGTTCAAAGCTTCCTTGGAAAATTACAGTCCAGAGGTGAGAAGCAGAAATGAAGACAAAGAAAATGATGTCACAGAGCAGTCTCCCTTTTAAATGTTCAGCCCAGGTGCATGGAAAATTTGTGGCAAAAGATGGAGTCTTAGGTCACGTCCTCATCACATTTCCTTGCATGCTACAATGAGTCAGTGGCTCATTGAGTGTGTTTAGTCTCTTCAGTGGCCCGTTGTGAGAGTTGAGTGTCTTTAATGGACCATCAACACCTGACTGTCTAATCCTGATGTAAATCTGCCTGGGGGCTGTCACCCAGGAATCATAACATGTGTTTGAGATACAGATACATAACCAATATTTATAACTTCAGATACAAAGAGGATACATGCATATTAAGAGGATTATCATATTTAGCAATCTGTAACTTTTCCATTGATACTTTACATGACATACTTTGTACAAGATTTGTTGCAATTGATTAACAGTGGTAGCAACAATGATATGAAAGGACATCTTCCTTTTCATACATATCATATATGGTTGTTATTATTAGATAGCAACATGACCCCCTTCCTCAGGTCTAGTCTACACTGGCAATGCTAAAGCGCTTCCGCATGCCCAGCAACCCTGAGTTTAGGAGGTGCCTCTCCTGTATGGAGGCCATACCTGTAACAGACGGACATTCCCGCTGTGTCCATTGCCTCAGAGGCCCACATTCCCCAGAAGTGTACTTTTTGTCAGCTGCTGAAAGCCAGCTCCCGAAAATAACGGGAACTAAAGCTAAAAGTACTTCTGATGGAGGGAGCTCTGCAACCTGCGGCTGACCTGGTACCAAGTCTCCTCGGCGACGGGAGCCATCACCATAGCCTTCTACCTCCAAATAAGTGAACCAAGGAAGAATCTTTTGGATTCCTTATGTAAGACCTTCAAAAAAAGAGCCATGAGCCCTCACAGTGAGTCCTGAACCAGCCAGAGGAAAGCCCCAGCACATTCAGTCACTTCAGTACTGAACACTCCTAAACACAGTTCCCACAAGGCACAGGGTCATCCAGTGCAGATACCAGGAGTAAGCCTAAGTTTCCTCAGGGCACAGGTGCTGAGGCAGCGGTACCGCTTGTCAGACATAGAAGCACAGACCGTACCGCCTCTGTGAAGTTGGCGCCAATACAGAAACCCTCGGTACTGATGACAAATAGCAAAGCTCATCAGACCGCTCATCTCGGCCAAAATTGCCAATTGCGTCAGTACCGATGACCACAGCACCACAGGAGTTCAGATTTTCTAAGGACCTGCTGATATGTGAAACTCCAGAGTCCCCTTTACTCAGTACCAGGGTCCCTGTACCAGGCACATCTCGATCCATGGAGTCATCACCCAGTTCCAAGCCATTCACCTCAGTCTCCTTATCTGTACCTCCAATGTCCAATGGAGATTCAAAACCTCCCCTAGTCATTACCACACTCACTCAGATTATGCTCCCTCCCGCCATCAATCCAGACTTTCCCAGACATATTTTCACTCTGGACCTCAACCCCCATGGTATGACCAACCATAGGCTCTGCCACCAATGCCTTTTCCACAGTCCCAGTGGCCTTATGGGATCCACGGACAGCTTATAGGCTGGACATCCAGTGTCACCTCCTGGACATCCAGTGTCACCACCAGGAATCTGTGATGTGCTCTCCTTCTTCCTCTACATCTAGAGCCTCAGAGCCTCCTGAGGAAATTTATGAACCACAGGAGATTGGGCTAGAAGAGGAGATACTCCACCAACTATTTTCTCTTCCTTCCGTCCAGATGAAGCAGTGATGCCCCCTCCTTCATCTATGGCAAACGACTTCACGTTCAGGACCTTACAAAGCGGGTGGCAGATACATTACAAATCCCTCTTGAGGAGGTGAAGGACACCCACCATATGCTGCTGGACATTTTACATACATCCTCCTCCTCCTCGAGGATCGTCCTCCCCATTAATGAGGTGCTTTTGGATCCAGCCAAACTCATTTGGCAAACACCAGCATCAGCCACACCAACTTGCAGATGGGCTGATAAGTATTATGTCCCCCACAAGGAATCAGAGTTCCTCTTCTCCCACACACCACCTAATCCCATTGTAGTGGATTTGGTGATCTCCCATGGCCACCGGTACTATTCAAAATCTGCCCCTTTCTATAGGGATTGGAAGAGATTTGACTTGTTTGGGAGGAAGGCCTGTTCTTCTGTGACTTTACAATTTCAAATTGCAAACTTACCAAGCTCTAGCAGCCAAATACGATGAAACGAATTACACCAAGCTTAACACCTTTATTTACCACCTGCCAGAGTCACACAGAGACCAGTTTCAGGCCATCGTACAGGAGCGGCTGTTAGTGGTGAAAACAGCAATCCTGACTGCACTAGATGGTGCAGATACTGCAACCCTTTTGATTTTGAAAATGATCGTGATGCAATGAGCATCGTGGCTGCATCTTCTGGAACTGCTGAAGGAGGTTCAGATGAGAGCTGAGGACCTCCCCTTTGAAGGCCCGAAGACCATTGCTGCGCTCCAGACTCTGAAGACTCCAGAGCCACACTACAGTCGCTGGGGATCTAATACACCTGGATAAAAAAGGAAATTTAGGACTCAGTCCTCCCAAAAGTTGCATCCACCCCAGTACCCATCATAGCACGACTGTGAGCCACAATGAAAAAGGTTCAAATTTCAGAGGTGCAAACTATCAGGCCCTCAATCCTCCACGTCACAGCCTTCCATCTTGAAATACCAATTTTGATGCCTTGTTTGAGGCCCTGAGAGACCACTCCCTATGACTAAGGCTGCGAGTTTGTCACAGAGGTAATGGAAGTCAGGGATTCCGTGACTTTCCGTGACTTCTGCAGCAGCTGGTGCTGCTGACTGCAGGGCCGCCTGAGCAGCTCAGGCAGCCCCGGGGCTAGCCGCATTGGCCGCTGCTGTGGCAGTCTTGGGCCACT